GTGATTAATACATATTATTGAATTAAATATAATTGAAAAATACCATCTAATTTAATTACAAGGGTATTTTATTCAATTAATATAGATTTAATAAAGGAAAATTGCATTTTTTAAGGGATCATAGATTCTATTAATTTTAAAAATCCGATTTTACGAATTATAAATTCTTTTAATTTGGACATTCTAACAGAATATGTTTATGAGTTTATTCAAAAATAAAAATATTTTTGAACCATAAAATAATAAAAATATTCTTGAACCTATTTCTTGATCATGACTTTAAAAACTTCTTGTAGAGTATCAAATTCTTAAACCATCAATTAAAGAATAAAAACAAAAATTACATTAATTCTTATAGAATACGGGTAACAATTGCTATGAATTACATTTATTGTTAAAGAATAAATCTAGAAAAACTTTCAAATCGGGAAAAAACATCAAAATCTAACAAAGACAATTAATACATTCTAAACGAATAATGTTGCTAAGAATCACTTTCAATTTTGTGGTCCGTTCTTCAAGCATCAACTTCTGTGAAAACAAGTCCGATTGTAGTTTAGAATCCAATAATGCATTAGCAAATGAAAAATAAAAAACTAAATTCCTTTGGAAAAATATGCGGACTTGTGAATTGCACAAAACCAATAACCAATAATTGTAGAACATGCATAAATCATTGAGAAAATATTCATATTCCATTCCAACAGAATTGGACATCGTGATCCCATTCCATAGAATTGGAATTTAAGATTCAGTTACCGTATCAGAAAGATTAAAGCCATCTTCAAGACCAATAACATCATATTCTCCATAACCATCATTCCCATCGACTTTGTTTAGTAAAAGTTCAATTCTTGGGTTTGGTTTGTAACGAAGAAACTGAGGTCTAGAGGAAAGAAAATTATTTTTTGGATCATATGGAGGAAGAGGGTCGGCATCAAAAGAGGCAATGATAGGTGAAGTTTGTGAAGAACAACAGAAAGGTCTAGTATTTACCAAATCAAAATCTTCAGTAACATCAGTTGCATTATCAATCGAAATGAAAGTTACCTTACGAACAGGAGGAGTTTCAAGAACAACTTCTTTTTGTTCAAGGGTTACCGATTCATTTGAATCCTCTTCCGTCATGACAGGTTGATCCAACGGTGTTGCTTCAGATTTCATTACGAAATCTTTGTCCAAGAACTGGATCGAAGTTCTTACCACCTCATTCTTTTCACCAAGAACTTTCTATCTTGGTGATGGAGTGCACTTTGAAGCAACTGAGATCGTTGGTGCCATGAAACTCTTTTCATATGATCTAGCAGGTGAACGAACTATATCTTTGTGATTCTCTTTTCCATCCTGAAACATCGAGCTACCAGTGCTTTTGCGAAGTACTGAACCTCATTTCGTATTATCTAACAACATAAAAAAAAATAAAAAAAAATCAAAAACCCACTTTACAGAACAAAAACTCAAAATCATGAAATCAAAGATCGTTTATACCTGTTGTAGCAGGGGTGTTTGCATGGGTAGGTGGATTTACGTTTCTAGGATTTACCACAATATTGGGTCTGGTAAAAGGGTTGCCACTGAAGCTCCTTCTGGTGTTCGTATTTGTCTCTGAATTTCTGAAACCCCTTGCTGAAAGTGCGGAAGGAGATCTGTTTGATAAGAAATTCGCCATTAACATATATGAATCTTGTCCAATTTGGGGTAGAAGAAAAATGAGTAGAGAATGTTGGAGAAAGAAATCTTGATTTTAGGAGTATTTTTGAATTAATTTGAGTTTGTAACATAAAAACGAAAAAGAAAGAGTAAACAAAATTAATTGCCCAGGCATGTTGCACGTTACAATTGAACGGTTGTGATTCTTATCGTCGACATAGGAAGACAAAGGGGAAAGAAGTCAAGAACATAAGAAACCCTAGTGTTGTATGAGGATAACCATATCTTGGGCCACATATGAAGATGGGAGGACGATAACTGATAATGATAGTTGCAGGGCGACGATGGCAGAAGATGGTGGTACGATGACATCAAGGCTTTTCTGGTGATAATATGATGAACAAGGAATCAACGTAGTAGATGTAAATAAAAAGGGGGAAAAATTAGGTTAAAAGTCAATGTAACTAGCATGATTATAGGGAGTATTTTTAGAAGATATTTATCAAATTACTTAGATACCCTTATTTATTTAATTAATTACTTATTTTTTTTTTAATTTTGATTGATCCACAATCAATCCTACATCCAAACAATAACTAGTTAGAATACATGAACCTAGCTCTCTCTCTCTCTCTCTCTCTATATATATATATATATATATATATATATATATATATAT